CAATCTTTCATTAGAAACAACCAAGTCAAGCGAGAATAATCATCCACAAATGTCACAAAATAATGAAATTTATTGATTGAAGAATGCTTTATTGGACCCCATACATCTGAATAAACCAAATGAAAAGGACTAGAGACACGATTATTAACCCTAGACTTGAAAGACACGCGATGGTGCTTACTAAGTTGACAAACTTCACATGACAAGAATTTCAAATGACTAAGACTAGGAACTTGACGCTACAAAACTTGAAGTGACGGGTGACCAAGATGACAGTGCCACTAGAATGGAGACAGAGAAGACTAAAGAGCCACTGGATAAGGTTCCAAATCAAAGTAATATAAGCCACCAGCTTCATGCCCCGTACCAATCTTCTTCTTCGTCTTGAGATCCTGAAACACACAAGAAGTAAAGCTTACTGATAGATATTAAATTAAAAGGAAACTGAGGAACATATAAAACAAACGAGAGAGACAAGGAATCACTAAGTTGAGTTGTCCCCAAACCTAAAACCTTAGTGGATGAACCATTAGCAAGAGTAACACTTTGAGAAGGAGGTACATAATTAAAGTCAAATAGAAGAAAAGAACATCTAGTCATATGATCGGATGCTCTAGTGTCTATGATCCAAGGACTGCTAGTGGAAGACAATAGACATGTGTGTGCAGTACTTGATTGGGCAAAGGTAGCCATGGAAGATGAATTAGATGCTTGCTTATAAGACAAAAACTGAGTATACTCATCACGTGGAACAGGGACCGTATCTGATTCAACTACGTGGTGAGATCCAGAAGCAACATCTTTCGGAGAGGAGGAAACTTGATTTGCATAACTAAATGGTTTGCCATGAAAGTCCCAACAAAAATTCACAGTATGATTAGAAAGGCCACAATGAGTACATTTTCGTGATTCCCTACCACGGCAACGTCCTCCCCGTGAATCACAACCACCACGTGTGGAGCGTCCCCCACCACCTCCACGGTGAGCATTATGTTCACCCTTTGAAACTACCAATACTGAACGCTCACCACTCTGCCCATTATTAAAATTTGAGGTGTCACTTGCAAGTGTAACGCGCTGAAGTCAAGAAAACACATCAGCAAGAGATCGAAATGTGGGACTGCCCATAATCTGTGCACGAATAGACTCATATGCTGACGACAAATAAGTAAGAAAACGGACAACATTAAAGTCCTCGCGTTGTTGTTGCATACTTCAAACATCAGCAGTAATGGGTTGATACATATTCAGCTCCTCACATATTCCCATAACTTTGGAATATTACTCTTCTATACTGTGATTACCTTGTTCAAGATTGAAGTACTGCTTACAGAGCTCATAAACACAGGTGATATTACCTGTCCCAGAATACAATTGCTTCAATCTGTCCCATATCTCCTTGGCAGTATCCAAATAAAGTAAAGTTGAACTGATTTGGGGTTCAATACTGGTTAGCATCACAGAGATGATCTGAGCATCTTCCTTTTCCCATGCATCAAAAGAAGCATCAGTTTCCTTGAGTTTATCTTTAGTCAAATAAGTACCAAGGCCTTTACTTTTGAGAAAAATTGCAACAGATTTAGCCCACAATATGTAATTCTTCCCATTGAGTTTAACGGAAGTCATAGGAGAATGAAAACTGGGCGTGGGAGAAAGCAAATCTGAACTGGACGTCATGTTGAACCCAGCAAAACAAAAAAAAAAAAATGTAGAATCCGTAATCTGGCCGAATTTGGTTAAATGGGCCAGATCTAGTCAAACGGACCGGATCTGGAAAACGAACCAAATCTAGGCAAACAGGTCGAATCTGTGCTATCCCGGTTTTAGTAAACCAGTGTTGGAATAGCTATCCCAGGTTTAGTAAACTAGGGTTGGAATAGCATAACCGTATAGCCAAACACGGGTCTTCTTCTTCACACCTTCACAAACGCAGGTGAACAATGCAGCGGAGGCATCGGCGACCCAGGCACAAGCAACGGCCGAATCAATAAGCACCGACCTCTGCAACTTCTGGCCAAAAAACGCTAATCGATAAACCTTACCTCTGCAAATCAAGACGGTAGATATCGGCGAGCTCGCTGACAACCAAAGAGGAGCTGCCGGCAACGACGAACGAGGCAGAGACGACAACGAACAAGCTTCAGATCTGACGACGACGAATGAGGCTTCAAATCTGACGACGGTGAACGAGGAGCTACCGGCGACGATGAACGAGGAGCTGCCGGCGACGATGAACGAGGCAGAGACACCAACACCACAACCGCGATTCCGATCTTATACAAGAACAACACAATTACAGACTCTCACACCCATGAATTCGTGTAGCTCTTATACCATGATCTAAATCATGAGAGAGAGAGAGTGCAGAAATGTTTCTTGTATATTTCACAAAACTCTAATAAGCCAATGTAGGCTTATATAAAGGATACAAGACTTACTTAATAACACTAAGGGCCCTACAAACTATATGTAATTACATAATGACCCAACATATATATATATATATATATATATATATATATATATATATATATAAAAGAGCCCAAAACAAGCACGATTACTATTGCCTAATCTCTAAGGAAGGGGCGACTTGTTATTAACAGTTTCAAGCGTATTGTGCCGCCTAGCCAAGATTTTGCTCTATTTTTTTTTTTTTTGATAAGTAATAATTGAATAAAAGGCGTTCAAAAGGGGAACGCACCCCTTATACAAAAGTGGAACCGGGTTCTAAGGCCCTAAAGAATCCAAAAAAAAATGATTAAATCATCAAAGGAGGAGCAAGAACTCCTCTTCACATAACTAAAAAAAGAGCGAATAATATGAAGTTTCAACATCACCGTGGACGACTCCTTCCCTTCGAACATTATGCTATTCCTCTCCTTCCAAATGCACCACCACACGCAATGTGGAACTATCCTCCAATAGTCGCGTACACTACTTCTCACACGGCATCCCCTCCATGCATGAATCAGACCCTTAGAAGATCGGGGCATTACCCAAAGTATGCCATTTAAGCCAAGTAAAAGATTCCAGCAGTCGTACGCAATGCAGGAGGATATGATCTACTGACTCACCATCTCGTTTGCGCAGGCAACACCAATTAATGATACAATTACCTCACTTCCTCAAATTGTCAATCGTGATGATCTTACCCCATACAACAATCCATACAAAGAATGTCACTCTAGTTGGAGCAATAAAACGCCATATGGTTTCCATGGAAAATCAAGGCTATCAAAGTTGGATAGGCATAGGAACAAGGATCGTACTTCGAATCTACCATGGGAAGAGGGGAATTAAGGAAAAAGTTATTTTCATACTGCCTATACATCCCAAACTCGTATATCCTTTTTTTTTTTTTTTTTTATCTGAATGAACTTGTATATCTCTCCTCTTCCATAACATCTCACACCCATATAGCTCACTTATAACAGGAATGCCTTTGAGCACAGTCAAAACATCTCCATTGGCTTTGCTCCAAAAGGATCGCTCAAAATAATATAAGTTATCCGTCACTCATGGTCCCTAGAGATCCCTTCCACAACAAAAAAAATAAAAATAAAAAAAAATAAAAAATAAAAAAAAATAGAGAAAATAAGGCATCTTGAATTGCTAAAAGTCACCGTATATGCTTTCATTACAAAATTTATGTTATTATAATTTTTTACAAACCATTTGATTTTACTTCTCCAATACTTTACATGAAAATTTCGCACATCTGGACATTTTATGATGAAATGAAAATTTCAAATATACATCGTGAACATTCACGTATTTTCATTTTTTAAAGTTTTGATGGTTATGAGACACAAGTATGAGATTGATTGTACATTAAATATACAAGTTTCATACACTAACACATTGTAAATTTTTCTAACTAAAATATATCATTATGAATTTTATTACTCATAGATCATACACATCATCAATTGTTTAAACTAAATCATACCGTAAATATTACATAAAATGGAAAGATTACCTTAGACATTTAGATTACATGATGATTATTCACGGCTGTATGATTTATTACCCGAGTACAACAAATTTTGGGTATGTATCATTCCTAATTTTTCCAGTTCCAAGCAAAACTCTCAAGTCAATCAACACTACTTACTAGATATGATACAGCATAAGTCAAAAATCCAAAAATCAATAAACAGAACAGTACAAAATGCTTTAAAATCTGAGACCAAGTCTTAACATGTGCATACCAGTATCTGACAAATTCATAACACCATTCCCAGGAAAATTTGAATCACAAATCATTCTCCTACAGTCTACTATGAAATTTAATGAGCATAGCTAAAATGCAAGGTTTTGCTTAAACTACCATTTCAATGTTAACAAATAAACCCACGATAATCTTCCAAAATAACATCGGTTAAAGATTCGGAAACGTTAATTTTGAACTATGTTAAAATTGCAGAACAAACCAGAAGAGGAATGACACTAGCACCAATAGGCAAAGTATTCGATGAGGAAAAATCTAGGAATGTTAGGCCCCATATTTGACATTAGACAAGAAAAACTGACACGAAATCAGCTATCTATCTAAAGATAAAACATTTGACCTGCTGCACATTAAGCATAGCAATATCAAATCAGGTATTTTATAGTCCAAAGGAAATGAGCCTATTCAATCTAAGGAATTGTTTAGCCTTGCCTATCAACAGTGTAGTTTTTCTTTCTAAAGTTTTTTCGTGCAATCGAAATAATATAAATCAGCATAAAAACTCTTGTCCATTAACATACGGAACAAATCAAATTATATTTAAAAACATGGAACAAGAACCAATCCAACCCCACAAAAAAAAAAAAAAAAAAAATCAAATTAAAACAACTAAAACCATCAAGAATGACAATACAAGAAACTCTAAAAGCCCAGCCGTAGCAATTGGAAACAAAATAAATATTAATATATGCTACAAAGAACAAAAGATAAAGATTGAATGAACGTGAAAAATTAAAAAATGATTAAAAATGAAAATTTATTTGTTCACCTGATAAGTGGAAAAGAAATCAACGAGAGACCATTTCTTTAAGACGCTTCATCCAATTATCATTACCGAGTATTTCAAGTTAAACTGCACATATAACAATACATTAATACTTTATATACGTCGATACATAAATGTGTGTGTGTGCAGTGTATATATGTGTGTGATTATATAAAGTACCGTGAGCATGATAAAAAGACGAATAATTGTAAGTTCATAACAGGCAATAATCGCCATTGAAGTCCAGTTCATAAAGAAGCAGTTCATAAAGAAGCGTCGAACAAAGAGAAAAAAAAAAAATGGTGGTTTATGCTAAAGAAAAAAGAACGAACAATGGATCTGTGTTTTTTCTAGAAAGTTGTAGGTAGAGAGAGAGAAAGAGATGAGAGAGAATAAAATATCTGAAGAGCGAATGCCTCTTGGGTTTAAATAAGAGGGAATTGGGAATTTCATATTTATGACAGACAGCTGTCAATAACTTGTAAGTGTTGGCGTCACCATAGAACCGTTAAGAGTGTCAATAATTTCACGGTGCAATTTTTCCACCGTTTGTTTCTAAGGTAAAATGTGGTAAAAAAATTTGCACAAAACGAATTACTGATAAGATGTTGATAAATTCGCCATTAATTCGTAATTCCTGTCAAAAGCATTTTGAAAAAAAAATTCAAGACCTTTGTCATATATTGAAAATTAAAAATAAAAAATTAATTTTATCTAAAAATATTTTACAAAAAATATATTTTTGGGAACATTATATATTTGCATTATTAAAAAAATATGAATTTCACTATAATTTTGTCTTGTAATGAATTACATGGAATTATTGGTTATTTTTATTTATTATTATAAGGTTGAAAATAAACTAGTAATTTAACATCTGTCATTAAATATAAAATCTTTTATGGAGTGTTCCATTTCATTCAAACCGAGGAGCGAGTCTCGTGTGTTAAATATTAAGGACAGTGATCTGTAAAATGGTATAAATACTCAGTCAAGCACTGTCAATCAAGCATGTTGACTTGTTTGGTCTAATACAAGTTTATTCGAAACTATTTTTTTTTTCAATTTTCATTATTCGACACTATTTTCACATATTAAGTTCTACCACTAGTATTATTTAAGCCTACGATGTTTTAAACTTCACAATTTTATTATTCTATCAATGCACTAAAGCATTGACCTCTAATTTCTGCTCAATTTTTGTAGAAAAAAATAAAATAAAATAAAAATCTAATTTGGTGATTTTGTGCCATTCTTATATAAGCAGACCTATGTAAGATATTGGCTTGGTGTGTCACCTGATGAATTGTGGAGTATTTTTTTCAAAATCTTTTTCTAATATAAAAGAAAGTATGAAAGTGTTTGGGTTCTGCTTCATGGATGAGCAACCAGTGATTTTTTGGTCTGGTAGTATTTTGTAAAGGAAAGGATGGACACTTGATCGCTGACCCAAAAGCTTAAATTGTTAGGTATAATTAATACTTAACTCATTTAACTTCTCATCCATGTCTGGCTAGGCTTAACTCTGGAGTTTTGGTAAGTTCATAACCATCACGACTTTTAAAACGCGTTGTATCATAGAAGGGTATTAAATCTACATATAGTACTTGCCCAATTCACACAAAGGCGATGTGAAACTGTATATCTGTAACTCGTCCAGTGTGATAACTTACTGATATCACTTGCACACGCTCATCCACGAGGTCACCATAATCCCTTTGTAACATTCTCTTTTACCTGAACTCGCAATATCCTTGTTGCAATCGGACCACCCTGCCTACCTAGGGTGGCGCACCCGAACATATTCGAACCTAGCACTTGACGTGGTAACGAATCAAGGATTGAGTCTGATTCTAATACTAACTGTAATGGGCGGGCGCTTCTCTAACACATAAACTTAAGTTATTAGGTAGAGTTAACATCCAAACCACTTATACCTATTTTACTTCCCATTCAGAACCGATATGAAATTAATCTCCCCTTATAACATATTTTCTTCTACATTTTAAAAGTAAATAGCGATGGTTCAAGTTTTCAAATGGGCAAGTGAGTATGAGAGTGAGGTGTATTTCTTACCAATGACAAAAAATAAAAAATAATATATATCTATATCTATACTATTCCAAAAGCGTAAGTAATTTCTTAACACTTTTAGATTTTTTTTTTTTTTTAAAAAAAAAATGATATTAAAAGGGAGTAATTAATTTAAAATTTAAATTCACTTTAAATATGAAGAGAATACTTAATATAGAAGTTGAAGGACCGATTTTCAATTTCAAATTTTGCTCATTCTTTAAAGTTTCAATTTTTGTTCATTCTTTAAAGATAATGCAAGTCATCATTTATGATAAAATTAAATCAACAAATCTCCCAATAAGAAGACTGTGTGATCTATACATTATATATCCCGTAATGGGTGGACCAAACCAAATTCGACTTTTTTTTGGTATTTTGTTTTCTTACTTTATACCGACGTAGTTTATTTAGTCTCTTGTGATTTCAATTTTTTTAGATAAAAAAAAATATGAAATTGGAAAAATAGTATTTAATATAGAATTTGAAGGGACAACATTCCCAATTTCATTTTTTATTCATTCTTTAAAGATGATAGAAGTTAAAATGATATTAAAAGAGAGTAATTAATTTCAAATTTAAATTCACTTTCAATACGAAGAGAATATTTAATATAGAAGTTGAAGGACCAATTTTCAATTTCAAATTTTACTCATTCTTTAAAGTTTCAATTTTTGTTCATTCTTTAAAGATAATGCAAGTCATCATTTATGATAAAATTAAATCAACAAATCTCCCAATAATAAGGCTTTGTGATCTATACATTATATATCCCTTAATGGGTGGACCAAACCAAATTCAACTTCTTCTTTTTGATATTTTGTTTTCTTGTTTTATACTGTAGTTTATTTAGTCTCTTGTGATTTTAATTTTTTTTTAAATAAAAATATATATGAAATTGAAACAATAGTATTTAATATAGAATTTGAAAGGGCAACCTTCCCAATTTCAGTTTTTATTCATTCTTTAAAGATGATACACCAATGGGCCATTTTAATCACTGTATTAATTGTTGCTTCACTATTCAAATTTCAGTTATATTTGAAAATTTAATTAATTTTATGATTTTATTTTCATTTCTAACTCATGCAATCTCCATTGCAAACCTTCGTGTTGTTATTCATGGTTTATTTCCTTTGATCTTATATTTTATTTCGATTTTTTTGGATATAAATGTTGTCTATGTGACTAGCGGAATGGAGAAAACGACTGCAGTTTCATTGCAAGAGATAAAAACATCATGAGACAAGATTGAAATAATATAAAAATTACGAGAACCTCTTGCAAAGAGCTCGAAAAGGTTAGTTTCTTTTGCTTCTTTGTTGATACCATAATTTTTATTTACCAAAAAAAACAAAAAAAGTATTTTGTTGTTAATATTATTTAATTTTCAATTTTGATTTATTAAAAATCTCAACTCTTCATTTGATTCTCTTAGATTTGGCTGTGTTGCAACAATTACAATATTGTTTTTGACATTTTGCTATCAATGTACATTTTCCTTTTGATTTTCATTGATTTGTACTCTAAAGGTATATAGATTTTCATTGAATTGTGTTGTAAAGGTGTTGAGTTTTTGTGTACGTTTGTTTCCTTTTTATATGTTTGTTTGCAAAAGTTCAAAAACTAACACAAGATTTGATTTTTTTTTTTTTCTTTTATAAATCAAGTCTTCCCCAGTTGTGTTAATTGGAAACGCCACACCTACGATTGCTTGTGACATTTTTCTATCAGGGTAACTTTTTTTCCTGGTAAACGTGAATACCTTTTGCCACAATTACAATATTGCTTTTGACATTTTGTTTGTTTACATTCTTTACTTGTTTGGTGAGAATATCTACAAAAAAAGATTTCACTCGTGGTGTGTGTTTGTTTCCATTCTTTGCTTGATTGGTGAGAATATCTGCCAAAAATTCACTAGTGGCTAGTTTTTATTTTTTTCACTTATGTTTTTTTCTCAATCTTCCATCTTTTTTACCTTTTTTATAATAAAAAATGTAATTATTACCTATTCCTAAACGTTTCCTTTTCATGGAAGACGTTAATTAAGAGTTTTTATGGTCCAAATTAAATTATATATAAATATAAACGACGTATAGACTTTTTTTATTGTTTTTATACATTTTTCACCTTTTTAAAAAAGAGTTTGTATATATGTTGAACTCTTTAGAAACCTCTAAAAATGATAATTATAAATAAGTTTCTATGATGACTTATTACATGATTTAATGAGAACCTGAATATCTCCATACTATTGTATTAGAAGTTCAAGAATTGCAACAATCAAAAAAATGTATCATTATGGTACGAATAATTATATAATTTAATGAGACATTTTTATGGAAAAAAAATTAAAAACATTAAGAAATAGAGAAAGTGTTTTACACATTAAAATTTGAAATTAAAAAATGTTAAGAAATTCTTTACACTTTTAGTATTTTTTTTTTCTTTTTTTAAATATTGTGGATTAGGAGATATGAAAAAAGTTTAGAAATTAAAAAAATTCTTTATACTTTTAGAATAAAAAATATATTATTTTAGGTATAGATATATAACCAAAAAGATATATTTAACAAAATTATTTTATTTAACAAATATGAAAAACGTTTAGAAATTCAAAAAATTCTTTACATTTTTAGAATAAAAAATAAATTATTTTTGGTATAAATATATGTAACCAAAAAATACATTTCAAAAAAAAAAAAAAAAAAAGTCTCATTATGGTATGAATTATTACATGATTTAATGATAACCTGAATATCTCCATACTATTGTGTTAGAAGTTCAAGAATTGCAACAACCAAAAAAATGTATCATTCTGGTATGAATAATTACATAATTTAATGAGACATTTTTATGAAAAAAAAAATTAAAAATATTAAGAAATAGAGAAAGTGCTTTACACATTAGAATTTGAAATTAAAAAACATTAAGAAATTCTTTACACTTTTATAGTAAAGAAAACGATCAAAGAATATTGACTTCAAGCCCTTAATCCATTCTTTTGTTGAGGGTGAACAAGAAGAAAAAGGGAAAAAGCACAAGACGAATATGAATCCTATATCTCCAACGATATGTTAAAATTTTTTGTATAAATCTGATGTGTCAGAGTAGATTTATACAAAAAATTTATATTAACTATTCTTAACTCCAACGATTGTTTTATAGTAAAAAAGTATCCCCAAATAACAATCAACCACGTGTCATACCCAATGCCTTACATAACTTTTACAAACCTACTTTATTCAGTTTATTTTTGGTGATTAAACTTCACGTCCCAATCCTCCTCAATTAGGAAAAAAATTAATAATTTTCCCCTATATTTCACTTTCC